TCCGACGCGCCCCCGGCCCTGCCGCCGGCGGCAGCCAGCCAGCCCCGGGCTCGGGACGGGGGCGATGCCCGCGCTCAGCCGCGCCCCCTCTTTCAGTGGAGCAAGTGGAAGAAGAGGATGTCTATGTCGTCCATATCCGCAGCTAGCGCGCGGAGGCCGGTGTTTGACGACAAGGAGGACGGTGAGTGCGGCCGCCCACCGGGGACTCCCGGGTACCCCGGCTGCCTGGGGACCCCGCGCGCTCTCGCACGGCGGACGCGGGGTGGCATTTCTCTGCGTTGGGACGCAGCCGCCACTTGGGTGGGACGGCTTCTCGAGGCGTCTGCGTTTCTGGGAAACTCTTGGACCACTACTGAAGTCCCCGCGCACATCCTGTTTTCAGTGTCAGCGCCGCAGGCAGAGAGCAGGCTCAGTTGGTCCCTGCGGAGTGAAAATCAGTGATCCTGGAGGCTCCAGACTCAGGAACGACCCCCCCACACACACTGTCACACGCCTCGATGTTTTCATTTTCCTTTGTGGGTGGTGTGCAGGCTGGGTGGTTACTTCTCATTCCAGGAGTCCTTCACCCGTGCTCTGCGGAGTTTATGAAGTGGATGCCTACCCCACAGGTGGCATTGGGGCCCAGGCCGTACAGCTCCCAGTCTCCCAGGTGACTGTGTAGTGCCACTTGCACGCCCAGAGCTTGCACAGGCCTTGCCTTTGTGCAAAGACCCACCCTCTGGGAACTGGCGGTCCCTGATAGCTTTGTGCAGGGAGAGCTGCTGACCTGGAGAACTGGTCTCTTGAGTGACAGGGCAAGGTGGGTTCTGGTGGCAAGCTAGAGAGGAGAGAGGACAGGCAGCTGTCTCTGGAAGCACACCTGGGACCATGCTGGGAACCAGGGACATTTGACTTAGCACCTTCAGTAGATGCCTGGGCAGTACAGGCCTTTAAGGTACTGTGATAGATTCACATATAAACCAAACATATAGCTCTTTCTACAGATGTCGTGTAGATAATTTTAAGTGGTACAATCATGACACATTTGATGTTTTTTGACGTTTTCTTAAAATAGTTGAAATATGCATTTTCATTTGTAGGCAGCCTGCAGAGATATGATGGATTTTTATAATTTTAGAACATAGCTCAGTACAGAAACCCAAGCCACTTAATTCCAATAAATAATTTAAGCATTTAGGAAATTACAATAAATGAAACTCAGGCCTGTGTTGGAGTGTGTGGGATTGCACACTGGCATTCCTCACCAAGATGGGAGGGCCTTGGAGACTAGTCTGTGGGTACCTGGCTTCCACTGAGTATGGTCAGCAGGGGAAAGGCACCAGGCACAGCATGTTCTGGGGTGGCTGGTCATTTGCCCTGAACTTGGGGACAGCAGGACTTGCTGTGGGAAATGTTTAACGTGCTGTGTTTGTTTTAAACACCAGTATTCAGAGTTTGAAAAAAGCCAGCCCAGTGGGAAGCAGGCACAAACCAGTAAATGGATTTGCATCTGGTTTCTAGCTATAGGATGAGAGGGGGCTCTGGGGAACACATCTGATCACAGCACTTACTGGTGCCAGCCAAAGGCTGGCCACCCCTCCTTGTCTCACGTCACGTCGCCAAGGCAGCAGGGCAGAGACAGAAACTGATGCGGAGCAGGGGCTGCGGTTGGTGGTTTAAGTCGACTTTTTCTACTTACTCAGAATTCAAGGATCATTAGCGAGGCAAGGGAGGGAGGTCCGCCTCAGTGCTTGCTATTTGAGAATCATTTTGCCACTCCACCCCCTTTTCTGCTTATGGTGGGATGGCAGGGTGAGGTGGTCCATGAACTGGCTCACAACACCGGGCTCTGTATGACATGTGACCAGCTTATTCCTCATTGGGCTCATGGCCCCAGATGGACACACCTCGAGGACTTAGCTGGGCTTTGGGGGAATTGGGAGGCTAAGTGTAGCCCAGGGCCTGATGGCTGAGAATGCTCTCGGGTGGATGACCACTTGGCTTCTCTTATCTGTGTCATTGGTGGGGCACATAGTGTGGTATTTCCACAAAGTGCTTAGGATGAAGGTTTCAGGATTCATTTAGATGGAAAGAGTGCAGCTGTGACAGAAGGAAGAACTGCTTTCAGCAAGAGAGTGGGGCCCAGACCCCTGTGTTTCAGGGTACACAAGGCACCCCCCCTTTCCTGATGTGGTGGGGCCTAAGGAGGCGGCGGTGTCGTGCTGCATGTACTGGAACTGTACGGTTGCCATGGTAATGTGAGACCTTCTGATGAATTTTTTAGATTAAAACACCTAATTAATATATCAAATTTGCTCTGCAGAAGGAAGGGGAAGAAGGAGGAAAATAGGCAATTTAACAAAGTAGCAGGTAAATTTCAACTAAAAAGTATAGTTGTGCCAAATACGATCTTAAATGTCCTCCATCCCTGTTAATCCCGATGAAGCCCAGAGTGCTGTTCCTCCCTGGCCAGATTATTTTGGGCAAGAATAGAACTCAAAATTCCCTGAACGTCTACCTCAACCAGCAGCTCCTTCCCCTCCCTTGACCTGCACTCTGTGTTTTGGCTTCCTCTAGGAATTCATTTGGGGGCAAACCTCCACACTGTGTTTTTTCCATTACCCTGGTACAGAGCCTCCGTATTGGCGGGGGTGGGAGGGGGAGGGGGGCTTCATCTTCACTGCCTTTAGTGTCCCTGTGATGCTGAGGGGTTCCGGCACCTTCCCACTCTCTGCTCTGTAACCTTCTGGTACAGTGTCCCATCCCAGACACTCGGGCCAAGGCTCGTCATCTCGGATCCACTGTGGTGTCACTATGATAGAGAACACTGGTGGCTGAGAAGGCCTGCCTTCATCCAGAACCTGAAAAGAAGCCAGACTGCCTCCCCAGTGGGTGGATGAACAGTGTGGCAGGGCAGGGACCCCAGAACTTAAATCAGCGTGGTCAGTCTCCATGGTGAACACCTGGGTGCCACCCTCCTAGCCTTCTTTTCTGGATCTAGGAATGCAGCCATACCGACAGCTGTGTAGGAACTCTTTTTTCCCTTTTGTACAGAAATGGGATCCTGTTCTAGATACTGTTTTGTTGTTTTGTTTTAACAATATGTCACCAACCTCTAACACGTCTAAAGCATGGATTGGTTGCTAAATTCACATCAGCTGCTCTCCACCTGGGAGACAAGTGTACTGCATCCAGTGGGCATTCTGAAAAATGCCGAAGTCTCATCTGGGGGAAACTGAGGTTGGACCTGTGAGGGTAGTGTGGCTCGGGTGTCCACTGCGCTAAACCCCTGGGAGTCTGAGGAGCAGTCAGGGCCAAGCATTCCTGTTTCACTCTGTGTAGGTGTGACCACTGTGTTTACCAAATTTCTTAGTGGAGAACATGTGTGAAACTTCAACTACGTGGCCGTCAATGCCTCTGCATGTTTAACTCTGTGTGCTCGGCACTGTTACCTTAGAACGCTTCTAGGGACACGGCAGCTGAATCCAAGGGTGTCCTTGGCTGGCTCACTTGGATGGGAATGGAGGTGCTTTGAAAGACAGCACACTCGGAGCTGCTGTACAGAAGGACCACTGAGTATACTGTCCTGGGGTGACCGGACAGAGGGAAGCAGGGGCCTGACAAAACACAGGGTGATATAAATAAGTAAATAAAATAAATGGTAAGAGCCCAGAGGACAGGGCAGCCTGCTTTAGGTGGAGCTGGCCGCAAAGTCTCCAAGAGAGCTGACATTTCCCCCATGAAGCTTTAACTCATCAGTCTCTCTCTCCTCCTCCTAACCCCATTTCTTTCCTCCTCTTTTTTTTTTTTAAACTCCTGGAGATAACAATATGACATTAACACTTTTGAGTTTCTTTGAATATTAAAGAGATTAGTTTTTTGTTTTTTTGCTGTTCATGTTAGGACATTTTAATTTCTCTATTTGTTTAGTTCTTTTGTTTTGCAAACTGCCAGCTCCTAGTCCTGGCCAGCACATCCTGGATGTCTGCTGTCCTGTTTCTTTGAGCTCTTCCTATGTATCTTTGCCAACTCCCCACCCTCTGCAGTCTCTGCATTTAAAAAAAAAATTATTATTTTTATTTTATGTGTATGCGTGTATTGCCTGCATGTGGGTAGGTGCACCCGTGTTGTGCAATGCCCACAGAAGTCATAAGAGGCTGTCAGATCCCCATGGGACTGGAATTACGAACAGTTGTTAGCTACCATGTGGGTGCTGGGATTCGAACCTGGGTCTTCTGCAAGAACAACCAGTGTTCTTAACCGCTGAGCCATCTCTCCAGCCCCCATCTGCCGTTTTTGAGACAGGGTTTCCTTGTGGCTCCAGTGGGCCTTGAACTCACTGTGTAGACCAGGCTGGCCTTGATCTCACAGAGTCTTTCTGCCTCTGCCTCCTCAGTGCTGGGATTAAAAGTGTGCACCCGGCGAAGCCTCTGCCTTTTAACGTTGCTGGTTTCCCCCTCTTTGGGTGATTTTAATTTTGTGTGGTCAGGTTCCATGTCTATTTTACATCAGCCAGAGGGAAATGGCTGGCTTGGTGCTACGTTTCTGAATCTTTCTCCAGCACAGTTAATAATATTCCACGTTATAACCCGCCCTGTGCTTTCTTCTGTGCTTCTGCAGTTTTACTTTAGAAACATTTAAAACTGTATTTGTTTATTTATTTGTGTGTGTTTGTATGTGTGTGCACCCGACTGCCACAGCAGATGTGTGGAGGGCAGAGGACAATTTATAAGCGTCAACTCTCTTTCTGCTCTGTGGTCCCGGGGATTGAACTTAGGTCATCAGGCTTGGTGGGAACCTTTACCTGCATGCAGAGCCATCTTGTTGGCTTGGTTTTATTTTTTATTTTGAGAATTTCAGCCTGTTGGGAATAACACCCAATGTGACATGAGCTTGTTTCCTCCTGTGCATGAGTTCTGCACTTTCTTAGGTTGGGCACATTGAAGGTGTTCTTAGGTTTAGAATTTATTCAGTCTTCCTGTATATTGGTTCCTTTTGGTTGTTAGGCTCTGACTGGGGCTGTTTTACTGATTCTGTTTCACATGGTTAATGCTGGATGGAAGAGAAACTACTGGTAAAAACATCCATCTCACCAGGCATCGTGGCTGTAATTCTAGAACTGGGGTTGCCGAGGCAGCGCACCACAAGTTCGAGATTCACCTGGGCAGTGTCATGAGACTCTTTTTCAAAAACAAAAAACCA